CGAGAAGCTTTCTGATCCGGTAGACTTTGCCAAGCTTACCTCACTTACCACGCTTTCTACGATTTCGGATGTGCCAGAGGGCATCTACGAGTCAACTTCTGACATCCGGTTGTATTTGTTCAACCGATGGAACGACGCGCGTTCGGCTATCACTGTTTCCAATTCCGAGGATCCAGCGATAACCATTGTCGCATCCATTGATCCTACATCCGAAGTCGCTCAGAAGTGGCTCCCGATTTTGAAGGTACTGTCCGAGCTGGCAAGTGTCAGAGTTAGGTTGGTCCTAAATCCCCGCGAGGAGATTAAAGAGCTTCCTACCAAGCGCTTCTATCGTTATGTTCTCGATTCGGAGCCGTCGTTCGAGGAAGACGGCTCGGTTTCCCGGCCCACTGCTTCCTTCTCGGGCGTCCCTGTTGAAGCACTGCTCACCCTGGGCATGGACGTTCCCTCTTCGTGGCTTGTGGCTCCCAAGGACTCTATCCACGATCTTGACAACATAAAGCTCAGTTCCGTCAAGGAGGGCTCGAATGTTGATGCAATCTACGCATTGGAACACATCTTGATCGAGGGTCACTCTCGTGATATGACCACGAAGTCCCCGCCTAGAGGAGTCCAGCTTGTCCTTGGAACGGAGAACAACCCTCACTTCTCGGATACCATCATCATGGCCAACCTCGGATACTTCCAGTTCAAAGCCCAACCTGGACTGTGGAACATTAACCTCAAACCGGGCCGTAGCGAACGTATCTTCACTCTCGACAGTGTAGGCGGCCTAGGCTACAACCCCCAGCCCGGCGACGAAAACAATGAAGTGGCCCTCCTTTCCTTCCAAGGTCGCACCCTTTTCCCGCGTGTCTCCCGCAAGAAGGGCTACGAGACCGAAGACGTCCTCGAAACCAACCCCAGACCAGGTTCGGCGATGGACTACATGAATAAGGGTTTCAACTTCGCCTCTGGCATCCTATCCAGCGTCGGAGTCGGCACCAAAGGCAGTACCAGCGGCAAGCAGGCTGACATTAACATCTTCTCCGTCGCCAGTGGACACCTCTACGAGCGCATGCTCAACATTATGATGGTCTCAGTGATGCGCAACACCAACCACAGCGTGAAATTCTGGTTCATCGAACAATTCCTCTCTCCTTCCTTTAAGTCCTTCCTGCCCCACCTTGCGAAGGAGTATAACTTCTCCTACGAAATGGTCACGTACAAATGGCCACACTGGCTCCGGGCCCAGAAAGAAAAGCAGCGTGAAATTTGGGGCTACAAGATCCTCTTTCTGGACGTTCTCTTCCCTCTCGACCTCGACAAAGTCATCTTCGTTGATGCCGACCAGATAGTCCGCACAGACATGTACGACCTCGTCAGCCTCGACCTCGAAGGTGCTCCTTACGGCTTTACCCCCATGTGCGACTCCCGCCACGAGATGGAAGGCTTCCGCTTCTGGAAGCAGGGGTACTGGAAGAACTTCCTCCGCGGCCAGCCCTACCACATCTCCGCACTTTACGTCGTCGACCTGAACCGCTTCCGTGCCATCGCCGCCGGCGATCGCCTCCGTGGACAGTACCAGATGCTGTCAGCTGATCCGGAGAGTTTGAGCAACCTGGACCAGGATCTGCCGAACCACATGCAACATCACATCCCGATCAAGAGTCTGCCGCAGGAGTGGCTGTGGTGTGAGACTTGGTGCTCGGATGAGTCGCAGTCGCAGGCTCGTACAATTGACCTGTGCAATAACCCTATGACGAAGGAGCCGAAGTTGGATCGTGCCAGGAGGCAGGTACCTGAGTGGACAGAATATGACGATGAGATTGCGGGCTTGTCGAAGCGAGTTGCTGCTAAAAAGCAGCAGCAGGCGGAGGAGGAAGAAAGGGACAATGAATCGTACCCTAATGAGGATGAAGAGGATGAGACTTCTTCTGGCTGGGATAAGGATGAGCTTTAGCGGGTTCCGTTTTAATTATAGCGTGTATACATAGATCAGTTTGGCCTCCAGTAGGAAATAGATTGTTCGCTTCATATGTCTTGTCGTCATTCTGTAAATGGTTGCTTCTAATTGATACATTAGAGGCAGTACTGCTGCCGGGACTTCCTTTTGAGGACTGACCTGCCTGTATGAATAGTCGGTTGTCCTTCCACGAGTTCATCCCTTCTATATTCCCAGATTTTCCTTATCTAGCTCTATAGGATAAGTTCTACTCCATATAAAACTATTTTCGACGCTTTTCTATATTCATTGGTTGTGAAGCTTCGCCTCGGAAACAGTCCTACTTAATCAATTCCAATCTCTAGATACTAGAAATCCAAATATGCCCGTACCCAACAAAAGAAAAACTCAGTACCAAAACACTCTTGGCTACCCCATGGGTTGGTAAAGCAGGTCCGATACATATAACCATCCAGATTGAACGATCAGCAATGGTGGGCTTGGGTGAGAAACGTGAGCATTTGGATTGAGGATTTATTTTTTTTAATACTAGCCAGTCCATAATCTAGATTAAATGTAGTCAGTAGCTTTTCCACTCTTGGCAGATCTTGCCTAGTCGCTTCGATGACCGAGATTGTATACATGCAGGCTACGACGCTGTACATTGAATCGATCCCTTAAACTTGTGCAGATGACGACTGTTGTAGTAGAAGTTTTCAGCGCAAAGCCCAGAAATCCAAACTCAATTCTGTCCTTCTGGAGAACCCCATGGAAGTAGCCCTCATCTCCGAGGTGCCTAAATTGCTGCTAGTAAGTTCTCCGCCAGGACGTTGGTATCTTGCATAAGGCCACTCGAAGTGGAGCGTGCCGTTTAGCCTTATACAGCGTGGAGGGAATAGTGGAGCAAGTTAGACTAATCACATGCTTTGTTGATAAGAACTAAAAGTAATTCCCTATTGGGCAAAGATGTCTACTTTGAAATCCGCCACCGAGTTAAATACCATGTAAGATTATGGAAACTTTCAGGGGACTAGACTATGTCTGCCCATGCTTGTATTTAATAAATGCTTAAGGCTAATTCTAGGCCTCCCCACGCCTTATTCCCGGATATGGATTGCGCATTAGTCTCTCCACGTGATGAACTATGTCGGTCCTAAAATGTCGCTATGCGCCTTTTCCTACCTGCTGTCTCAGTAGCAGATTAGAACCTATTTGCGCATGCCGTCCGCTCGGCAGTGATGTCTTTCATCGATGAGGCCATCAACCACCCGGTCCCCATATTATCCTCATTCGAGCCGCAAAATTCGTCACACAAAGAGCAGTCCCTGACTGCGGTGGACAACGAGAAAGAAAAGATTGCCGACGAACGGCCATTGGAAAATTCCGATGCCAGCGAAGATAGCGATCCGGACGTCATTCTCGTGGACTTTGATGAGGATGACCCGGAAAACCCGTTGAATTGGTCGCCAGTGCACAAATGGCTGATTGTGATTGTTGTTTCATGGATGGGCTTTGTCAGGTAAACTAATGAAATATCTCTGGCCAGTCTACTATTGCTTCATTGAATTGACCAAGATAATCTAGTGTATTCTCAACAATGACAATCGTACCTACCGCACCCGAAATCCTCGATGAATTCCACTCGCACAGCAAAGTCGACCAGACTCTCCTCGTCACTATCTGGGAACTCGGCGAAGGAATCGGCCCATTCTTTATCGCGCCGCTCTCCGAAAGATTCGGGCGGCTCCCAGTCTTCCATATAGGGAATTTCCTCGCGCTGCTCTGCTTAGTTGCTAGCGCGCTCAGCACCAACATCTCCATGCTCATCGCCTTTCGGTTCCTGACAGGTTGCTTCCTATCAATTCTCACCCTTGGCCCGGCTATCGTCGGGGACCTGTTCAAAATGGAACAGACAGGTCGGTCCATGGCAATCGTCATGGGCACTCAAATGATCGCGGATTTTATTTCCCCCATCGCGGGCGCGTATATCGCTGAGGACCTGGGTTGGCGATGGTCCATTTGGCTAGCGGCTATTGTGCTGGGATTCTTTAGCTTGCTGTTACTGTTTGTGCTGAGAGAAACGTACACGGTTGTTCTGCTGAGAAGGAAGGCGGAGCGGTTGCAGAGTGAGCATGCGGGCGCAGACGACAACATCAACTTGAAGTATCAATCCAAGCATCAAGCCCGGATCGATGCATCAACCATGCTTGAGAGTGCTATCAAGCCAATGCAGATCCTCTTCCGATCTCCTATCCTTATCATGACAACGACATACATGGCCACAACCTACGCCCTGGTGTCATTGATCATGGCCACTCTCACAGAATCCATGGAATCGACCTATCCCCACACCTTCACCAGCGGCTCCATCGGGCTCACATTCCTCAGTCTGGCAATCGGCAACACCGTTGCTTTGATATTCTACAGCTTTACCTCCGACCGCTACGTCATCCGTCAAAAAGAATTAAAAGGCGACGCATTCAAACCTGAGTCGCGGCTTGTGCATCTCCTCCTCGCTGCTGTTATCCTCCCTGTGGGGTTCATTATCTACGGATGGACGTTGAATTATCATGTCCAGTTTATCGTGCCGCTCATTGGGGCGTGTCTTGCTGGCTTCAGCATGACGCTTTCTGCCATTCCGGCCGAAACTTATGTCGTGGATACGTATGAGATCCATGGCGCTTCTGCTATCGCTGCTGGGGTTATTTTCAGAGCTATCGCGGGAGCATTCTTGCCCTTGATCGGCCCGGCTCTGTATGATAGTATTGGGCAGGGATGGGGAAATACGGTGCTGGCTTTTATTGCGGCGGCTTTTATTCCGCCGTTGGGGGCCTTGATGGTCTATGGGGATTGGTTCAGAAGTAAGGAGCGGTTTGGGAGGGAGGGTCGGTAAATCCATTAGTAGTAGATTTGATTGATATATGTTTGTCCATGATAATTGTTGTATATACTCCATTCTCATCAGATATACTCGAGATTAACTAATCGAAATAAACAAATACCCTCGCCTCGATACTCTCCCGCAACTGCGTACTGTCGTTATTCCGAGGATCCTTAAACGCCGTATGAGGGACTCCTACACTTGCAGTATCAATATCATCTACAGCAGCAACTCCGTATTGGTGCATAATGACAGGGAGAGGTCATACCTGCACTGTTCTCAGCCCGAGAATCCGCCTGCACAAAGGCAATCACCTCATCAGCCTGCAACCCATGCCAGTAATACCATCTGTGGTTCTCGTCATGGTATATTCGAGTATTCTCATTGACGTAGTCCCGGGCCACGATATCCATAGCAGTGGTCTGAGATGCGTAGTCTACTGTACGGCGGTCGCAAACCGTGATCGGGAAATCGTATACTGGGCCGCGAATTGGTTTCCATAGGCTGGTGAATAATCAAATGTAAGCTTGGTTCGCTCTTGATGGGTATTTGATGGGAAGGTCGGTGATAGATGTTACTTTACAACGATGAATTGCGAGTAAGTTTTTGGGTGGATGTTGAACTGCTTGATGCTGCATTTTGCTGCTGAGGAGGCTGTCATATCTATGTTGAAGGGACCAAAACAATCAGTCTTGGCTGTATGTACAATAGGATAGGGCATACCAATATGCACATAATCACTCGGTTGATTCGTATCGAGCTCATGTCGCTCTATACCTTCCGATAGCCACAGAGGATGACGTTTGCGAGTCTATCTCCAGTCTATCAGCCTATTTGAATTCCTTCAGGTCTCTTGCTTCACTTACAGCATGCTCTAAGACTTCAACTCGTGCAGCATCTGGAAATAATTCTCGCGCAAGCGACTTGTATTGAGGATATAAAACTTCTTCCACTTTCTTGTCATAGTAGTACTCCTCCGGGGCCAAAGGACAATCAAGATACAATTGAGTAAACCCAAACTTGGAGAACATCTCCTTCGACGGAATGTCTAGATTTCGAGCATTATGAATGGGAACTATACGGTCATCTGCGGCTGTGTTCGTTGGGGCAATGTCGGAATCATACTGAAAGTGCAGGTAGTATGGTTTCACATGTTGGTGCTGCTCGTCTTTGACGAGGTATTGGATCTTTGCTTGGACTGTGTCTTCATCTGTAATGATGGAGGTGGCAGTGGCCGTTGTGGATGCGTTGATTCCTCCTGGTAGGGGCATTTTCGACGATAATTCTCTTGTTCGAGTGTTTTCTGAGGGGTGAGATCCAGTATCCAACTACAGACAGCGGGTGCGATTCTTGGTAGTTCTTTGCCGCAACACCCGATTGCCAATTGCTTTTCGAATTCGGGGCACGACCTTACGGTTCCGTATTGAAATGCAAGACAAGACGACACATCACCGAGATGAAGGAGTGCATCCTGAACTCAGTTCAGGGCAAATCAGTCCCCTACCCCGCAGTTCCTTGCGAATCAGGGCTATGACCCACCGGCTATACTATCGTACTCGGGGGCCAGAATAAGATGATCCACACTTCAAACAGGATACCATCCATGCCTTGGACTCGAAAATCAAATCCCTCATCTGCAATACGACGAATAAGTGAGGCGGTTACAATCCTAGGTCTACTGTAGTATCCTTAGTCTCATTCCAAGTACGTTTTGCGCCATGCCTAGGTAAGCTCCCCATGTCAACCATGTAACTGGCTAAGCAGGCGCTTATCTTCTCACATAGCTGACCGAAGTGGAGATACGTACTTTCTACAACATGAGACGACCCACCCTAATCCGCAGCGGCCCGAAAGCCTATCTTTCACTATCTAGGTGGTATGACCCACGCAGGTGGTCTTCATGAGCATCGAGACGTTCTTTTCATGAGACCTTGAGGGAGGCTTTACTGCAGCTGCGCCCTAATGCGCTGTAACCTGGACGTGTTGCACTAGACTGGGATCTCATCCATCTACTTCGTAGATACTGGGCGTATCAATCGTATCTTTCAACCTGTATCTAGGTGGGATGCTCCTCGGAGATGTAAGTGTCGATTACATCTCATACTTTAGTAATCTTGTCTAGAAGCACTATGTACAAACGCGCGAGCCGTGCCTAAAGTGAAGACTGGGATTGCATCCTTCATCCTTCGAAATGTTTGATCGGTATGAATTGGGATGATGCATTGCGCAATGCTGATAGCCAATGCAGCTTCGTCTACTTCGTTCCGGTTTCAATGCATATTTCACTTCTCTCCGGCTGTCATAGTCTGCGCTAGACTTCAATCAGCGTATTAATAGCCAGCGCATCATTCACGTCGTAGTTAGATGATGCTCTTATCTTGCTATCTAGAGCCGGTTAGCGACGCGAGGCCCTTTGGGACAGATTGCAGTTCGTACATACACCTGATAATGGTTTCTTTTGCCTGGAAGCACAATTAACTGGAATTTGTACGCTTACGCCGATCAATTCTCACCTATGTGTAACAATAGCTTCTCTGTACCATCCATATCCATCTACTGGGTAACACAAGTCGTCAGGGTCAATGCAGATCAGTTGCGCCACAACCTTGGCGTGCGGAGTTGCTGGTCCAGCCGAGGATGCTTGGCATATGTCTTGGGGTGCTTGTCTTGCGGATGCCAAGTGCTTATCCGGAGCTGGTAGGTATCAAGCATCAACATATCTGGGTTTATCGAGATTGAAGAGGTATTGTGTGGAAAAGACACTAACCTTCCTAGGATTGTTGGGCATGGTTATCGACAACTTCCCTCATCTTAGTTGCTATGCAATGATGCCATCTCGTAGGTGCAGATATCAAGGATCGTAGTGTACTGCGCATTTTCGAGGGATTTGGATAGTTTGATCTTTCTGGATAAACAGCTCTGAAGTCCGCAATAAAGTGAGGCATTTATGCAAGCCTATCAACGTGCGAAGAAGGCTATGGGATCCCAGATACGGCTCAAGATACGAGAAATTGAAACACGCTTAATGAAGCATGCATAGACGATTGAACGAATCATCCGGAAGTAATGATAATTCAGGGCACGGCTCCAAGCAAGCGCTCGGACGGGGTTGAAACCCGAGGGGAGGGGAGATCTAGACGATCAAACTCCGTAGATAGCTTCATCACACACTGTACGGCTTATCAGCAGAGTAGAATGGATCACTGCCTCCGCATTAGGAATCATGCATACTCGCGTGCTTTCACGGGCTTCATGCACAAGCAGCGAGTACGTATGGTTGGGGATAACATGGTCAATCGCGGATCTAACTGGGATACATCCGTCTCGAATGCTATATAAGCCCCTTTGGCCATCGCCCAACATTCACAAATATCATCAACCTCAGACAAGAACAATTTCAGACTTTACTCAAACCACACTTCTCAAACAAACACCCTTTAAGATGGTAAGAAAAGCCTCGCACATCTTCAATCACACAGAGCATACCTAACTAATTGGCTTTACAGCCTCAATCCACCTCTACCGCGCCCCAGGAGAGAGCCCAGCCCTGGAAGGCCATGCAGGAAGTCCAGAACCTGTTCAAGCCCGAGGTGCCCGCCGCTGCTGAGACCGCCGACAAGGCCGAAGAAGAAGAGCCCTTGAAGCTCAACTTGCTCCGGGCTCAATTCAACTCCGCCAGATCCAACATTGCCAATGTCGAGGAGAAGCACTAAGCTGTGTCGTCTTAGTTGGGAATGGAGGAAGGAAGGATGCTAGGGAGAAAGGTCTGGCCGGATCTATGTGCCATTCTCTTGTTATAAATGAATACTAGCTTGCCTTCCTGTCTTGTTGGGAGGACAATATAATAACTGTTCACGCAAGTTGAAGTATCATTTGCACTGTAATGAATTGCCAATTAAAGTTAGATATGACGAACCAGATGTTGCTACTTCCTCGTAAATGCCTGTTATTAACGGCATATTTCATTGCAAGGCTACCGTTATGATACTTTTTCTGCTCTTTCTTTTCTGGGCTGTTTTTCTCCGCTGAGGTCCCACGTATCCTCACATGTAGGTACAGGATCAATCTGCGAATTCAGGCCTGCGAAGAAAATCACTTTGCACTCGTAATCCTTCAATAAATAGCAAAGTATGTGTTCTTGATCAATTCGAAGATTTGAACGCCCTTTGCTCTATTCACATTATCATACATAGTATAGATCGAGCACAGAGAGAACGCATCAGAAGGCAAAATTTTTTTGAGAAGACAGTAGATATCCAACACCTCCAGGAACCAGACAGCATTCCCAACCTTAGTAAACGACAATATCGCCAACCATTACAAATCGAGAGCACACAACAGCGGTTTTGGTTCCGTCATAGTTCTTATCATCACAAAATGCACATATGCAGCTGGACACAAAGTCGAACAGCATACGAGTCTAGACACATGCGCCCGGGTAAACCCCCTCCGTTATCACCGCTCTAATTGCTGACAGGGACCAGTAATGCCCACGAGAGATTGATCCTTCGTTGATCTGTAGTACTTTCTGACACTCCACGCACCATCTCCACTTTTCACCGTTCACTTCCAACATCGATAGGAATAGATAGGTCCGGAGAAAGGAGAGGGGGTTGGGACTCCGACGGCCCACCGACGGAAGGATTCTCAGCCAGGGTCATAACCTGATAGCATCCTTCCACTTCAATACAGAATACAGGGAGTATCAACGCGGTATGCTACAATAAACCCGCAGCATATGACGTATGATAGGCTTTATTGAGTTTAGCGTCTGGCTTTGGTCGAAAAGTCCATGCAGGAAGGAAGTCCTTACGCACCCGCGTGTGTGTTCATTGCTGGATTGAAACCTACCGGATCCCCAATATCGAACCCATGATGTAATTGTTTTGTTTAGGTCGCATATTTGAGTGGCGCAACGTTCTAGAGCTCTTATCTTTGAACTGTGGTAACATGTTTATCCATGTTGTGATGTGGATTTATGTATGGACTCCTGCGTGATAGCAAATCCTCACCGGAACACCAGCTCGGGATGGCTGGATGATCAACAGACTTACATTGGTGATCATCAATAGCAGGTGCGTTTGACAATATGAAGAAAATGTTGAGTGGAAGACTCTGCAGCATTGAGGGACTACTTTGTCATGTCTTTGCTCGCAAACTAAATACTCCTTTCGAATGTTGTAAGCGTAAACCATTATCCTCACGTCAGCGCCACTGCTGTGCGGGCGCAATTACACTTGAAAGCAGAGAGTTACTCTGCACAAGCAACTACTAAAACATATAGCTAGATTTTAATCATTTCACTCTAGATAGTTGGTTATGTGAGCCGTCGGAATTTCAGCTGCAGACAACCTGCAATAGGACCCGCGGAAAAGGCATCCACCTGTTCCACATTTCCTGTAAATTCATCATCCAGGTAAGTCTCATAATCCATATAGATGGTTGCAAGTAGCTCTTTTATGACTTGTTTTGATTGCATTGTCAGCACGTTCTTCGATCGAGGAGAAGTGGGACATACCACGCATGGAGAAATGAGTGCCAATGCATACTCGCGCGCCGCTTCCAAAGGTCCAAACCCACTTCCGCATCTCCGCGATCATGTCCTCGTCTGCTTCGAGCCATCTACCCGGGTGCCATTTTTCCGGGGACGGAAAAGGAACCGGGTTGAAGTGAAGGGCCCAGGCAGAGGAGCTGACGATGGTGCCGCCGGGGACATCGAACTTCTCCGCGAGCCGGCAGCCAGAGTCCGGCACGACACGAGGAAACGGGCCAGGACAGGGTGCCCGTGTCCGCATGGTCTCGGTAACGACAGCATCAAGCACGGGTAAATCCGCAAGGCGATGAGCCAGGCTCTGATCGCTAGATTCGGCCAGACTGAGGAGCTCTTTCCGGAGCGCCCGCTGGCAGTCTGGATGTCTCGATAGCTCGTACATGGTATATGCCAGTAACGTTCCCAGGCCAAGATGACTTGCCGAAAGATGATCATCGCACTCAACAGCGATGTAAGAAGCCATTTCGTTACGCGGCATCTTGGGGTTGGCGGCTTTGAAAGCATCATAGAAACTGTCATACAGGCTCGCGGTGGAAGTAGGCTTGGCGGGATGCCTCCTGTAGGCATCTGTAATCGCTCGTGTGAGCCACGCTTGCCATCGAAAAGTGGCATCGGGATTGGGCAACCTGTTGCCGATCAAGCTTGCAAGGTAGGTTAACGGCCAGTAGAGGGTGGTCCGCACAGAAACTATCTTCGACGCCGCTGAGGCCAACGTTGTGAGGTCGTTCTCAAATCCCGAGTCCCGTAAAGTATCGGTCGCGTTTTCGCTGCCAAAGAGCCAGCCTGAGGCAACGTCAAGGGTGCAGCATTTCGCCTGCTGATAGACATCGACAGAGGTACTAGTGCTTGCCCACTCTGTCATTTTCTCTTTAAGGTGACTCGATACGCGGGAGAGGACACTGCCGAGGGTTTGAGAGTTGAGAATGTACGAATTGGAGTAAGGGCGAGAAAGCATACGTTTACGCTCCCTGTGCTCGTCGTTGCCTGTCATGGTGACCATGTAGCCAACCCTGGATTTGGTTAGACATCGACTTGTATCATTCAATCTGGGAGTTGCGAATGCATCAGGGACTTACTGATCGAACAGTTCATGGTAGAAGGATTCATCTTTGTCGAATTTGCTGCTGTAGATTGTGCGAACCCCGTCATCGATACAATTTACACTCACATCACGCGGTCCAATCCGAATGACTGGTCCAAGGCGACGATGGAGTTGGATTCGAGTCCGATTCTCCAGATTCCGCCATCGGAGTGACAGCAACCACAGGCGTGAATAGGGGGCGGAGAAATGAGCATTGGGAATGTCTTTCAAGCTGGAATTGTGGTTGCGATGGAATGAAGCAACGATCCATGATACGATGAAAGTGAAGCCGACGACCACGGCAAGCATGTCTTGAGGAGAATAATATGAAGAATCCAGGGCTAATCTGAGCGGCGACTGCGACTGGAAGCGTCCCACCCGCAGTACTTATTCCTCCATCATAGAATCGCGTCAATTGCGAATCCAGTGATCCGATATGGAGCCGAAATTTGGCCCAGCATGACCAAAGGACATAAGTACAGACAGAATGCAGTCTAGATCTTCTTGGTCACCTAAGGTCCGAATCCCACCAGACCATCTCATTCGGCATTCTTGCTGTGCCGTGCCATCCGCGCTATCCCTAAGGAATTGTCGGGCTGTTCCGAATGATAATTGGAAGGAATATGCAAGTGGACAAGCGGGGTTATGATACACAGGCTGTGTAAAGTCAAGTCTGCACGGGTTTAATTGCATGGCGTGGCATTAGTGGCTTGGTCTTGTGTGCACCAGACTGCTGATCTGTATAGTTCCTTTTCTTTTCTTCAACTTTGTCGCCCCTGCACGCAACATTCGACCAGTCTCCCTACTCGCCTCTATTTTTATATCCTCTCTAGTATAGTATCAGAATCAGTTGTCGATGGAACCGCTCGACTCGCGAATTTCACTAAGTCCCTCAGATACATCAGGGAATCTCCGTCTCGGTTAGCATAGTTTAGACTGCTGCAGCTCCAATTTCCAGTTACAGCGCATTAAATTCGCGTATCTTTGATCACAAGAGAGCTATCACGTACAGTTCGAAGACGGAATACATGGGAGAAGCGCTTCGCTTCGACTCTGTTGAGCTCATTTCGGACACAATGGAAAAGCCGCTGTTGGACAATCGCTCATACCGAGTGATTCAATTACTCAATCAACTAGAAGTCCTTTTGATACACGATCCAGACACTGACAAAGCTGCCGCTGCTATGGATGTCAATGTAGGTAGCTTCAGCGACCCGGATGATCTGCCAGGGACCGCGCACGCGGTGGAGCATCTGTGTTTTATGGGAACGAAAAAGGTGAACAGACTATATGCAGAGCTATTAGTAGCCCAATACTAAAATTCTTGTCTAGTATCCAGAAGAGACCGAGTATAGCACTTATCTGGCCAAGTATGGTGGCTCCTCCAACGCCTACACGGCCTCGACATCGACCAATTACTACTTCGAACTATCTGCAAGTTCAACATCAAATATTTCAGAGTCATCCGCAAGCAAAAAGGGGCCTAATGTTTCAATTTCCAAGAATAAGTCACCTCTCTATGGCGCCCTCGATCGTTTTTCGCAGTTCTTCATTCAACCACTCTTTCTCGCCGATACCCTAGATCGCGAACTGCGCGCAGTGGATTCAGAAAATAAGAAGAATCTTCAAAGCGACACGTGGCGCCTTGAACAATTAGGCCGTAGCACTTCGAATGAAAAGCATCCCATTCACAAGTTTGCTACCGGCAATTATCAGTGTTTGTATGAAGAGCCGGTATCGCGAGGCGTCGATATTCGGAAGCGCTTTATCGAGTTTTACGACGCCCACTATTCTGCGAACCGTATGAAGCTTGTTGTTTTGGGTAGAGAACCACTGCAGGAGTTACAGGGCTGGGTTGAGGAGCTCTTCTCTAAAGTACCGAATAAGAATCTGCACCGTTTGAGGTGGGACGGTATACCAGTCTTGACTGAATCCGAGCTCACGACACAAATATTTGTTAAACCAGTGACAGAGCAAAGACAGTTAAACATTGATCTCACCTACCCCGATGAAGAAGATCTCGTCGACTCCCATCCCAGTCTATATCTGGAGCATCTAATTGGCCATGGGGGCCCTGGCAGTGCTCTCGCTTATCTGAAGGAGCTGGGTCTCGCGGACTCTTTGTCGGCTGGGGCTTCTACTCTGTGTCCTGGTTCAGCACTTTTCTGTATTGACGTGAGACTTACAGAGAAGGGCGTTCGTCAACACCGGAAGGTCTTAAAGATTATCTTCCAATATATTTCTATGCTGAAAGAGAACCCACCGTCTGCCTGGATATCGGATGAAATAAGCCGCCTAGCTGAGGTGGAATTCAAATTCAAGCAGAAAGGCCCTCCATCCCGAACTGTTAGCGGTCTAGCCCAGCTCATGCAGAACACTTGTATACCACGCGAGCAGTTACTCAGCTATCCTCTCATTCGCAAGTTTGATCCAGAAAGCATCCAGCGTGGTCTATCGCATCTACGGCCTGATAACTTTCGATTCTTTCTTGTCGATCAACAGTTCCCGGGAGATTGGAACGCAAAGGAAAAGTGGTATGGGACCGAATACAAGCTCGAAAATATACCCAATGATTTCATGGAAGAGCTTTGGACAACCGCACAGGCTTCAAATCCAGAAAGTCCCCCTAAACTTCATTTACCAGCTGTGAACGAGTTTATTCCTCAACGATTAGATGTTGAACGAAAGGATGTCGCAGAACCAGCTCGTCAGCCTACGCTAATCCGTCATGACGACCATGTCCGTGTGTGGTTCAAAAAGGATGACCAGTTCTGGGTGCCCAAAGCTAATATAAAGATCCTTCTTCGGTCCCCCATGGTCTCACTCACACCGATGTATGCTGTCATGACGCGTTTGTACGTTGATTTGGTCGAGGACAGCCTTGATGAATACGCTTACAATGCGGATAAGGCCGGTTTGAGCTACAAAATATCCGAAAACGCACAGGGACTAATTATAGAGCTAAAGGGTTTCAACGACAAGATGTCAGTGCTTTTGGAGAAAGTATTACTGGCAGTAAGAGATTTGGAAGTTAAACAAGAGCAATTCGACGTGGCGAAGGAGAGGGTGTGGAAAGCATATAAGAATTTTGACTACCTGGAGCCGTATCGACAGATCAATACATTCTCGCGCCTGTTGATCAATGAAAGATCCTGGGCTCCGTCTCAACTACTCGAGGGGCTTCCAGCAGTGACAGCTGAGGATTTACGCTCATTCTTTCCCCAACTGCTGCAACAAATGCATATAGAGATCCTCGTTCATGGCAAACTACATAAAGAAGATGCACTAAGTATAACAAATCTTGTGGAATCAACACTCCGCCCACGTCAATTTCCCAAAAGCCAATGGCCATCACGCCGCACGATTGCGCTACCAAGGGGGGCAAACTGCATATACGAGCGAGTACTGAAGAACCCGGAAAACATCAATCATTGTCTCCAGTATATCATCTCAGTCGGCTCTGTCTCGGACCGTTCGCAGCGAGCCAAGCTATTACTCTTTTCTCAGGTTGCGGCAGAACCATGCTTCAGCACGCTACGCACAAAAGAGCAGCTCGGATATATCGTCAACTCAGCCATCGGTGTCTACGTGACGACCGGTACCTGGCGCATTCTCGTGCAGAGCGAGAGGGAATGTAAGTACCTCGAAGAGCGCTGTGATGCGTTTTTGGAAACCTTTGCGTATGAATTACGCGCGATGACCGACGAGGTGTTTGAAGAGCATAAGATCGGGTTGATCAACAGACTCTTGGAGAAATTGAAGAATTTGGACCAAGAAACGTCGCGTTTTTGGACTCATATCATGAGTGAGGTGCTCGACTTTGAACAGGGTATGTTTGGTACTTTCATACCCATCATAATTACACTGTGAATTGACTAACTGGGTGGACTGAATCTCCAGTATATCAAGAGGCCGAACATATTGAACCACTTAGGAAGAAAGACATACTCGAGTTCTTTAACCAGTACATCCATCCATCTTCACCTACCCGCGCGAAGCTATCGATACATCTTACTGCGCAAGCATTTACTGGAGACTCTGCTGTAGCAGGATACAGTGCTGCCGCTGAAGAAAATATTGATGCTTCATCATTAAAGAGAGATCAGGACGCTGTAATAGTCAACGGACATAGACGTTCAGTGTCCCCCCGCACTATTCCAATTGATAATGTCAGAAAATGGAAGGCAAGTCTGCCACTTTCGCCGGCTGCAACCCCAGTGAAGGGCCTGGCCAGCTTCGAAGAATGATGTCAATTTTCAATGCCTTCCAGTGGCAAGGAGAGTGAGTACTATATATGCAGGCATAAGTCTTGAATGAAAGGGTTGTCTGTAAATTCCTTAGAAGTAGAGACAGCATTGGTGCTTTTCCTCGGATAGATACATGCAAAATCATACAGATCGTCGCTACAGTTACACTAACACGCATGCATTTACAAGATTTAACGCTCTCATCTTCGTCGTTGATCTCATGTAGATAATGTGTATTGGTTTAAGTATCATAATCTGCATCCTGCTCTGACCTCAAGAGAGCAAGTGCCTCGGAGGCCTCTATTCGACTCGACGGTACAAATCTCATCAATTGCCGAATGACTGAGGCAAGACGAGTAAGTATCGGGTCCGGATCCCTTCTACTGAGCCTCCTGTCTAGTTCAGACACCTCAACTTCTTTCAAGGCAATTAGTAAACAAGTCTTCTATCATGGACGCACAATGGTTTATTTACTCACCTTCTGATGATTTTAAACCACGCTTAAAGTTCATCTTCATGCGTTCCCATATCGGCTGCCAGTCCTTCGGCAACTTCCCCACAAAGCGGATCATCTGTGAGACCAGGACTTCATCTTCGCCTAGGTATTGGAAGGGATATGACCCAAATATGAACGCGTGGATCTCATTGCTATGTCAAATTCATATTCTCTGCAGAAAAGACAGGGATAGGGTACTTACCATACAGCCTGCGCGCCATAAATCAACGCGGTAGTCAAAGCAATCGGTGAAAATCAGCTCAGGGACCCGCAATTGCCCTGGCTGAGCAAGTACTTTAGGCTCATTCCCCTGTAGGAATGCCTCCCCAAAGTCAAGAATTCGAATATCTTCTTCATCTTCATCTACCCAATTTTCCCAATCTGCGACTTTTACGATATGTTTCGGTAAACCGTTGCCCAGCGGCTGGCCATCAAGACGAACCAGGTCTTCGACCTCTGGCAAACCCAGAACTTCGAAAAGCTCATCTTTTGTTGCGTTTGAAAGGTTACTACAGCTGAAGGCGACGTTTCCGCCGCTTATATCTGTCCCCGTGTAAGTTTAATGACGTGTGGACAGGCGTAATATACATTTCAAGAGGCCAGGGAAGAGAGAATTGTTTCAATAGAAGTTTTTGAAAAGACGGTGACTTACCCCCATGCCCCATGCCAGATTCATGAATGAAATTAATAGCTTCAAGGAGCTGTTCTGACATTCGAAGGATAATGTCTATCTCAAGGGCATCCCCAAGGCTGTGGTAGTCACCAACGACCTTATCTACCGAAGGACCGAGCAACTCAAATACCAGACACTGGTGGCTTCCATTAGGACCCTGGTGAGTGAAAACGTCGAGTAACGAGACAATAAGTTTTGAGGCTGGTCTTCCTTCGGCGCACTTCTGTAAAAATTGCAGACTATGGAGTTCCCTGGATCCCTTGGAATTATCTGCGGTCATCATTTTCAGCGAAACCCATTGCTCCTTCCTGTTCATATGTTAATAGAATTCAATCCGGATCCATTTGCCGTTCACTCACTCTCTGTCTTTTGCAAGCCAGACGGTGGAAAAGCCTCCCCAACCTAATTTATGATGTATTTCGTAGCGACCATTCTTGAAGGTATCACCAAGGCAGACTGGATGGTATCCACCGGGCCGATACTTTGACAAACGCTCCTGAGTGTATAGGAGATTATGCTGCTCATACATAGACAAGTCTTCCATGATCAGGAAAGTTGTGGTGAAAGAAGAAGAATAAAGACTGTACTTAGGAATGGGCTTGCGGTGGTTTTCATGGATTAAGCGCCGGTCAAGGCGTGATTATCTAACCATGTTCCCGAGTTTACGTTATGGTATTGAAAGGGTATAGAATGAAAAAGAATAGGAAATAGAAAGACTAGATAGTAGAAAGTTCGACTTATTTGACCCATTAACACCAATGGTTCCTTTCTTATGCTATCATTGCTTCTACATCTGCTAACTATATACGATTTATTCTTGCCCGTAAGTATGTCATACGAGAATGACGCGGCATTTACTAGTAGCCAGTCTTGAATAAGGATACTTTTATCACGTGTGTATATTGCGCAAAAGTACGGTTCCAGCAACCGATACGTGGTATATATATTTTATCTAAATCAAACCTCTGGCAGTAGCTTTCTGTCTGGGCTATGGTACTAGCATAAGCCTTAATTAGTGTGGGGCCTGAAGGTGTTTAGCGTCGATCAATATAAGATTGCAAGGAACTACAGAGTACCAGATTCGAGAGGGAGTGCAAGTTGAATTGAGCATTAGCGGCAAAATGTGTGCATCTTTATTTCAAAGTAAACGGAAAGACAGAGATCGACGAGTTAGAGAAATCAGGCAATCTGGTCCTCATGTTACCCATTAAAATAGTACCATTTGAGACTACGACAAGGGCAGCATCCTCGACCCTAATTGCCTGAACGCGAAACTGCTCATATTCAGCAGATTGAGGCGACCAGTGTTCAGTTAGGAAATGACAAAGATATCCAATGAAGCGAGGTTTGACCATGATTCGGATTGTAGGTGCACTCTAACAGCTGTTATGATTGACTTCCACCTGGAGGCTTTCTTTCCTAAGGCATAGGAGAGAACACTGTCGTAAGTAGAGAAGGAACCTAAGGAAGCTATATGGTGGTGTAGGTGAGTGGAGTGATGTGAAGTACAAATGCATTACTATGTTATCTTCGGTGGGCAGAACGATGGTAATATATGAAGTTCATAAAAGGCTAAGTTCAATGGGGTCCAGTACATATGACCCGTTAACTTAGCATATCAATGGCAAGTGTTGTGGTGGTGGCTGTACATGCAGCTTCAATTACTATCATTTGCACGGAAGGGAACTTTTGATTGTGACATTAAGAAACCAGCGGATGCTCGGACTGGAGAGAAACATGATGAATTTCATATGGTTAACAACATTCCAGTCTTAGACATCAGCACATAACAGCCAGAAGATGTTCTACAGCCCGCAGTACATGACTTATTTGTGCCCTTTTCACCCCCCACCCCGCCAACCTTGGGGTAGGGGCGTGGACGGAGTCTGACCCGGCAAAATTGAGGAATAAAATCTATACAAAGGTCAATCAGCTTTCCTCATAAAGCGATACACATCCGTTCAACAGTTCGGCCAAGTTGCTACTGACAGCATGAAATAGATCAAAACCTCTGCTCCACCGCTTTGAAGACTCCTTAAGTTTATGATACAGCAACGGCTAATTAGCCATTGCAAGCTGCCTGGAGATGTTTTCGTGCGCCTAATATACTTGCTTATGTGAGTGGCTGTCTCCTGTCTGCACTGAACATCTGATGTGGATTACACCTCCCGATATCTGTAATCTAGGTGCACTCCTCTACAGAGAGAGATGTCTCCATTCTTTGCCGTCCTCTGGAAGAGTTAAGAGTGTATCCTTAGATGATACTAATATCAACATCACTTGGGGCAAGGGGAGTCGGGAGAAATATCCCGGTTATGATGTTTCTTCAACTTAAAGGCCACGCCGTACGTAATATGATATTCAGGAAAAGACTGTAAACACTGCAGACATGTAGTTATAGCATATTATTAGACAGTGGGTGCCATTTAACCATCAAGACCATTCGTCACAAGATCAACTGAGAATTTACTATGTTTGATAGCATCTCAACCCATAAATTACCGATGCCAGTCCAAATCACTTGGTGTTGTGTCGTATGATTTGTCATTTGGAGAATATGTCCTCGGTGTGATCATTGCATTACTAGTGGCCTGCTTGCAGGTGCCTGAAAGCATGGTCAGCCATAGACCGAAAACAATGCCGCAATGTATGTTCAGTTGATACGTCGGATCACTAGTGAGGGCTGTTACATTATGTATGGTTTTATCAAGCGATCATTAAGAGACAAAGCACTTCTATACCTCAATCTTCATATCCCGCAATATCCTCGATACCAACTTCTTCTGATCCGCCGGATTCAGATCGTGCTCATCAATCGTAGTTAGACACCGTCCCACAGCTACTGTCGCCTTGACGGAAGTTTCGCCTCCGCTAGAACAGTCAACCCAAACTTTACCATTTCGTCCCACGGCGATCTCAAAGCCGCCCGATTTCTCCAACTTCTTGCCCAATTCCTCCAAAACCACCAACCCGGCCACACCATCCTGTGAGTCCGATGAGGATGAGCTCGCCCTCATCAATCTAGCAGCCATGCCAGTAGAAATATCGAACACCATTCCCCCATTCAATTGACCGAGTCCTCCAGGTTCAGCCTTGCCCGTTGCAGGGTTCACACAGGCCAGCTCAACCTCCGCGCCCGCACCCAGACCCACCGAGAGCACACGCGCGTAAACCAGATCGCCTTGTTTCAGCATCGGCCGGGTCTTCTTCGTCGCACCTTCGAAGGATAGTTGTCCCAACACCGCATGGGGCGCTTGCGGCGTGATCATGCAGTGAAAGTAGTCCACGCTGGAGTGGTGGACCTGTGCGATGACCAGGTCATTGACGGTAGGAATGTAGCGGCGATTCGGAGTCGAGAGGATAGATACAGCGTTCCGTTTGGTGTCTGTGGAAAGAATGCCGGCTTGTGTGGCTGTGAGGACATGGCTGGGGGAGGATGATGCTTGAAGGGAAGAGGAGGGCGGTTGCGAAAGTAGACGGAGACCGGGGCCAAGTCTCAATGGCGCGGAATTGGTGGATGGGAGGTATTCTGACGGGATCTCATCCCCGGGGAGAAGAATCAAGGGAGATGACATGTTGGAAATGTGTTTGTCCCACTGGGGCCTGCAGTGGTGTTGGAGAATCACGAATGCTGGAGTGGTTGACCGCGACGGGCAAAAAGAAGCGCAAATCCAAAGGCTTATCGGGTGCTGCTTATCTCCACGTGATACAGCTCATTCTGGATTGAAGATGAGATGGGCGCCACGATGGTTTGGGAGTGAACCATACAGGGTATACTTGCTGTGAAACTGTAGTGTCTGGGCAATCGCCTCCTTATTTCTCCATATTAATTGATATATGTGGAGAATGATCAATCCCATTAGATTTTCGACGCTACTGCTGCATGACTGCCGAACTGTAATTGCACCGCCACATCTACTATCGATAAGCCCTCAGCCACATCTGCCCGCCAATTGCAAACCAGCCAAAATTTTTTTCCTTCGGGGCAAAATGAAGCGCGGCGGTTCGAGAAGCAGCAGCCCGACTTACTTTGACTTGATTTCCTCCTCTTCTTCTTCCCTCCTCCCCCCAATCCCCTTCATCTCTTTTCACATCCTTCCGTCAAGATGAGCTCCGAAACTAACGGCACTGCTGAGAGATTCGCCATCGGTATCTCCTTTGGCAACTCCTCCAGCTCCATTGCCCGCATCAACGCCGTATGTGAATTTTGTACCCTTCCTATGCGGATGCCCGCCCCCATTGGGACTTTTACACCACCGCTGTGCAAAGTTGCGACAGACCGCTGACTTGACTTGGATTATAGGAAGGCAAGGCTGAGGTTATTGCCAACGAGGAGGGAGGTTAGTATAATTTAATGCGCTTTGAAAAAAGTCTTATATTCGAACACTTCGACTTACACATCACCAGACCGTCAAATCCCTACCGTCCTCTCCTACATTGATGGCGAGGAATACCACGGTACTCAGGCTAAGGCCCAGCTTATCCGCAACTCCAAGAACACCGTTGCCTACTTCAGAGATTTCCTTGGCAAGGAGTATGTCAACTCGTTCTGATAACAACTAGGCGCACATGCTGACGGACATGCACAGCTTCAAGTCGATAGACCCCACGCCCTGCCACAACTCGGCCCACCCTCAACAGAGCGACTCGACCGTTGCTTTCTCCATCTGCGATACCTCCAGCGAGACCCCCAACACTGTCACCGTCTCCGAGATCACAACCCGCCATCTCCGCCGTCTGAAGCAGTCTGCCGCTGATTTCCTTGGAAAGGAGGTCAACGCCGCTGTTATCACCGTCCCCACCGACTTCAAGGATGCTCAGCGTGAGGCTTTGATCGCCGCTGCCAACGCTGCTGGCCTTGAGGTCCTGCAGCTCATCCACGAGCCCGTTGCTGCTGTCCTTGCCTACGACGCTCGTCCCGAGGCTGTCGTGACCGACAAGCTGGTCGTTGTCGCCGACCTTGGTGGCACTCGCTCCGATGCCGCCGTCGTTGCTTGCCGTGGTGGCATGTACACCACTCTTGCTACTGCTCACGACTACGAGCTGGGCGGTGCTCAGTTGGACAAGATCATCATCGACCACTTCGCTAAGGAGTTCATGAAGAAGCACAAGACCGACCCCCGCGAGAACGCTCGTGGTCTGGCCAAGCTGAAGCTGGAGGGTGAGGCCACCAGAAAGGCTCTCAGTCTCGGTACCAACGCTACTCTGAGCATCGAGTCTCTGGCTGACGGCATTGACTACGGCTCTACCGTCAACCGTACCCGCTACGAGCTGCTCTCCGGCAAGGTGTTCGCTCAGTTCACCGGCCTGATCGAGCAGGTTGTCAAGAAGGCTGGTCTCGATGTCCTGGACATTGATGAGGTTCGTTCCATCTAAACCTTTGTTGTTCATCCTTCTCGCAGCCCGATATTAACATTTGCAGGTTATCTTCGCTGGTGGTACTTCCCACACCCCCAAGATCGCCCAGTTGGCCCGCAACATCTTCCCCGAGAAGACCACCATCCTCGCTCCCTCCACCTTCATTGGTGCCATCAACCCCTCCGA